CGTGCAATTGAGTTTATTCTCATTTAACTCAGTTAAGCCCTTTTGCTAACTTATTTAGCGGACAGAGTCATCCGCATTATAACAACTTATTGTACCCTTATTATTTTGTGCTTGCACGAAATACGTATGCTTGAATATTGATTACTGCCTACGCATTTATTCACTATGCTAGTCTTACTACTAACCGCTTATTTGATTCGATTACTCATTCATTTCACTATATATATATATGTCCATGGTATTCATATTCAACACTCGCACACTCTCTTCTCGCTCTGGCTCTCTCTCGCTTGCTTGCCTTTCGGCACAACTCTTCGTATTTGCCTTCTGATTAATATATCGTTGGGGCGTTATATGGAACAGTTATCAAGAGGAACTGTATATGAAGTTATGGATTATATCGGGCCACTAAATATTTTTGATATTAGCTTAATGACGGTAGGTATAATTTAAAAGACTTAGTTATGTAGAAGCGATGAATTATTCGTGTTTGTTGAAGTCACAAAGTAAAAAACGATCAATTTAACAGAAGTATTACATCAAGTAATAGTGTTGAGTGTGTTACTTATTTCGACATAAGTAGTATATAACACTAGTCAGAAATAGAATGTCTGTTAGCAGAAAATCAATAAGATCGAAGAGGAAGGAATGGGAACAGAAAGCAATTGATATGAAAACTCAGGAATAATGAAGTCTGAGATGATTGACTGATATTTGCAAAAGGAACAGTCAAGTGTGAGAGAGTTAATTGGCATTTTTCAAATTAAGTACTTACTGTATGGCTCTCAGATTTTAGTAAGGTGTTCTGTAAATGAATAATAAAAACTATTATCCTCAAGCAGCACATAAAAACGTCCTAATAGTAGATCAAAGAGCTATTCTACTCGTGAAAAGCTATCTCAAGATACCTATCACCAACTGCACATTTGTGACTAGATAGCCATTTAGTAAAATTGGACTGTGTGTTATTTGTACTAAGTGATGACTTCTTTAAAACTGATTCCACGCTTATTACAATTTCCGAACGTAATACATTCAGTCACGCTCATCTATTTCCTCTTGTCGTGAACTACACTGTTCCGGGAATTCTTAGTTATAAAACCAATCTGAATAGTGCTAATTACGATACATAACCAGCTCGGTCATGAAATTTGTGAAGGTTTATTGAAAGATCAACATGTTACTCAGTAATGTCCCGTAGACAAGTAGTGAAACTATTTCATGATGCTCGGGTTTTCATATCCGCTTCTGGATCTGTGGAACGTAAGAAGTAGCTTTTATCTGAGTGTTTAAAGAAATGTACAAACAGTATTTAGCTAATACTTTATCTTTAAAAAATGCTGCGTTCTGTTTCTGCGTTTTGTCATAGCGAAGGCGTGTTGTTGTTTCTGCAACTACCTCCTCAATCCTAGTATTACATATCATAGTAGAATATTCTTTTCCAATATTATTGTCATAACTAATAATGGTTTGATTCAATATGATATACTTTGTACAATATGATCTATGTACTTAAAAGAAGGTCACATGAAAGTTGTTCATTTAGGAACGTGCATTAGGCAGCTATCTGTAGCATGGTGTCGAGTGGAGTCGGACTATGAACACCGCTACCAAGAAGCTCGTTCCAAATGACTCCATAAAATCCCCGAGAAGCCAAATATCAGAAGGCAATTAATGGACCAAGTCGAGGTTTATTTGCTGGCGATCTCGTGGCATCGAAAGGATACCGAGATCGTGCCAGGATACAAGCTTGGTTACAGAACGTAACCGAATTCGCGCGAAGTTACAATCAAAGTGTAAGAATAAGAATGGAAGCACGATATAGCTGTCATTAGCACAGTCAAACAAAATCACATTAAAACAAGCACTGGTACAGTTGGTTATAATAATAATTGTTTTTATTAAACCAGTCGTGTTCTCGTGATAAATGCGAGTCACTACATATCAATGAAAGTGTGAAAGCCCTAAGCTGTCTTCCATTTACTGGTTCTGGGTAAGTTGGAATATTTATCAGGTTATGGAATCGGTCATACTATCTATTGTTACTTCAGTTGACTGTTTTCTGTTGTTGTTACATATATGTATCATCCTCTGGCTACTACCCGATAAAAATTGTTTGACAGGAACATACTCAAAGAGGACAACAGAGAATGTCAACGAAGTGTCTTGATACTGTTTATTTTCAAAACAACTCGTTCATTAGAATAAATATTATTGTATATATTCTTTTTTCATTTCCATAACAAAGCTTCTTTCATTCACTGTTCAGAATTCTGCATAGCATTTATAATATAACCAAGTGAACGACTGCCTGGTGATGTCTAGGTTGTCTTGTCATGGTGTTGTCTCACAACTAAACGATCTTTGAAGTTCAACACATAACAACTAAGGAAATTTACATTCAATATTTAACATTTAAAGAAGGTGGGAAATAATGAGCGCAGAAATAGTTATTCAACAAGGCATAGCTCGACCGTGCAGCTGTAGTCAGTTTATGTAACTCCTTCCATTCCGTATTAAATATATTATTCTACCTCCAGCCTAAATTTGTTCTTCAGAAGTCCTAAACACCATACTGATGACTGTTGCATGAGGACAAACCAGTATAGATAATGATCTGACTTCCACGTAAGATATTATAGATTAAGTCTTATTGTGGCTAATCTTAGACTTTAGGTTGGTTCTATTATTCTAGTAGCAGAGAGAGATGCAATTACATCGACTAAGATCTTGATCGTACAATATTTCACAACTCTATTCTCTTGGAGTAAACAAGTTAATTCGTGTTTAAAATACATCAGTTTACAAATACTCATCTAATCCGCCGAAACTGTTGCAGCAAAATGGCTTGACTGACCTCACAGAAACCCGCTGGTTATCTACGAGCGTCTTTTAAGAATAAGATGAGTGCGCAAAGATATCAAACGATTTGTAACAGCACAGTACTGTGTTGGTCACTAAACACCCAGGAAAGTCAATAGTATGTGACGACACCCGCTCAGTGATTCCGAAACATGCGTACGATCTAATTATGGACTAACCAGAATCAAAACAAATTTCAGGAAAATGAAAATGTTATACACTCCCTTCAATATTTTTAAAAGGAGAGTCGAGAATTTTTACCCGTTACTGGCTAGTCATACTACCCTCAGCACTTTCAAGAGTAATAGGAAGACTGGTTGATGATCAGACTACGACATACACAGAAAATCAAGAAAATTCGTTTAGCGAAGAGTTCGTAGTGGTAACGATTCCTAACAACACAATATTTAGACCCGAACATAAGGGAACTGAGAAAATTTACATCCGATATATAACACAGAAAGAGAATCAGAGATGGTTGAGGAGGGAACAATTGTTCGGCGTGGCATCGCTTGACCTTGAAGGTGTAGACATACCATGTAATTTACCCCTATTCACAGTAAATATACAGTTCTATCTCCAGCTAAAATATTTTCCTCAATACTGCTAAACGTCTTGTTGCTGATTTCACGATAGGACGCGTCATTATAAGCAATTTTGTGACTTCCATGTAAGATCTTATAGATTAGGTAGTCACGTCGTGACAAATGTACAATTTTAAGATTAGATCTATTATTATTAGTAACAAAGATAAGTGTACTAATGTCGAGTTAGACAACAATTCTACATATTCTTCTACTGGCGAATTCATTTTCAAAGCTGTACAATCACAAATATATACTTATTTCTCAAGGTGATAATAATTACAATTATTATTGTTAATAATATCCGGGTAAACATTGTAACAGTGAGGTAGTATAAATAAAGGTTTCGAAACGCTATTTTTCGGTAGGGAGACTTAAATTAGTTTTATTGTTGAGGACTTGAATATTCATTATGAAGATAGATAGTAAAATTATAATTGGGAAAGGAATGCTGAGCATGATCACATATAATGTTAAAATTGAGATGAAATGTAACCAGGAGGATTATACTAACAGAAATAAAACAGATGGCGGCGAAAAGCCCATAGGGAATGTAGAAGAAGGGAACAACGGGAAAAAGACATCATACATGAAGCTCAACACAAATCTAGGGAATGTCACTCCTTAACGTTCAGTCTTCTCATAACTTGCGGCTGATTAATCTGCCATAACCAAAGCATATCGGTTCGTGTAATATCCATCGACTTTTTGAATTAGATGATGAGCATCAAGGTACACAGAATGCACGCGACCTGAAGAGTCCAAGCATCGTGAGCTTCACATGGAATCATATAAGGCTTACTGCTCTTCCTGATTTTTATTAATGGTGTCCTAGATAAAACCAACCCTGTGACCTTCAAATACTCTGACGATGTACATAATAGACTGTAGTGACTCACGTTTATTACGAGAACACGACTGGTTCAATAAAAACGCCACGCTACAAGACAATCCTTTGCAAATGAAAAGAATTCACTGAAACTTTGAAAGAATCTTACAACAGTGGGAGAAAGAGTAACAGTCGATGGCTAAAAGTTTAACCTGTCAAGATATAATGTTATGAGCATTTAACTTCAAGGGACACAAACAACTTACATTATCTATGATAATCCTCTTATGATTATTTCTCCAGAGCATGCTCTTGGTCTATCGGCCAAGGATAACTTGGAAACTAGCCCGAAATTCATTCGGCATGCAGCCCAATCAAATGCACTTCCTCATTTTGTGCGGATACAGCTTAGTCTGGTCAACTTGGAATTGTTTTTCTCTCTTCGCTTCATTGTTTTGATACTATGACCAAACAACCTCTTGTCTGATAACTAGATAGCTGTTGGTTCTAAAAAATCAATCCTCTGAAACGAATGCACGCATTTGAATCGTAAGACGCAAATCCGCAATAACTATCCAACTGACTAGAATTAGTACGATCTAGTGGTTAGACTAACGCTCACTGGATACCCCTGCAGACCCAAAATCTCATCGAGAAAATGAAAAAGGAGCTCGAAAAAAAAAGTAAATACAAATATGCCTTGAAAGGGCTGAATATATGGTATTAATAGATAAAGCGCCGGGAACAAGTTTTGCGTTACTCGAGTGTTTTTGTCATCGTCCTGTATGTTATACATGTGTTTATCCATTTTCGTGTGCAATTTTCACCTTGCTGTCCCTTATTTATCTCAAAGTTTACGATATACAGTAGTATCGCGTTGACATATGAATCCACAATAAATGAATTTTCATCACTGGACCAGTATTTCGCTCAAGTTGCTTTCACTAATGATTATGATGAAGTAAAGTTGTTGTATCTGCTAGGCCAAACAGTTTTTTCTTTCGAGCGTTTTATAGCTGTATATCTGGTTAATAAGTCTTCTGATCGCAATCATGTCCATTGGATGCAGTGTGTTAATTATTTTAATAGTGAACGATTCCTGCTTAGGTAAAATAAAGTAAGATAGTGCCTATTCGTACCTCATGTTCTTAGGTACTTGTATACCTATGTGGAATTTAAAACTCTCATTAGGGCTCAGATTGTTGCAACGGTCATGAGACCGTATTTGAATTTTACGGTGAATTCCTTAACGTCAACTAAACCATTTGAAGTTAATATTGCAAATCTCGAACAGTTGGTTCATCAAAAAGATAATTTATCAGTTGGGTGCCACATATATTCTCAAGTTGCAAACCGCATATTCTGTATAGTGAACCAAATATCGAAAATCCGAACCGGAGTAGATTTCTAACTTTTAATCGAACAGACTAAGTCCTAAATTTCAGCATCCTAATTTTATAATTGGTTCACGTTTTCGGTTTTCTTATGGACGGTAATGAAGAACCAGTGAGTTGTGTGGGTAACTTGTGTTTTTTGGTTAGTATTGAGAGTTGTATGTTTGTGTCATAATGTTTTAAGCGGTTTACTTTTAAAATTTGCTTTTAGTTGCATTGTCTTTCAAACAATGGGTACTGCAATAGATGTCCTAGATATTCTCGATCTGAATGAATCAAGTCCCAGAAAATCTGTGCTTGATAGAGAAGCTATTCTGAGTCGTGCAGAGAAAGTAAGTACAAATTATTTCGATTTCGAATGTTATTAACATTGTAGAGGAAAAGTTCTCGCCCTAACCCACCACCAAAAAGACCCGATCATGTTCCTCGTGAAGTTTGGGGCTTACATAGCACTCTGAACAAGTGAGTTTTCATCTCATTAAAATAACATCCTGATTCAAAACATTATCGTCCATTGAATTTTATAGTTGTATGTATTTAGCTATTAGCTTATCTATCCATAGAACTACTGAATTATACACATCTTCATTTATTTTAACCATAATTACGATCTTTATGTCTAGAGAACTGACGTACATATAATCATCAGACTGAGTTTTCTCTTTCAGTATATGTATTAGTTTTGTGTTTAAGCGAAAGAAGTGCATGCTATTGTTTCAGCTTTACAAGTTATTTCAGCGACTGGTTCACACTCAAAATCGTCTTTTGTGCGATCGTTTTTGTATAATGGTGTAACGGTTCGGTAAATCAGTGTCATGCAATTGGTTCCCTTTAGGAATTCGAATAAAGCCATAACTAACATCGATGCAGAATAACGTAAATGCATCATATTTCGATGTATCTCATCAGATGCCTATAACTATATATGTGCAAGAACAGGTTAGATTTCATTTGGTATAGGAATTCAAAAACATAAGGTTTGGGTGATGAATTCACTAAATGAAATCTGGAGACAGGTAAGATATATTGTGTGTCTTAGTGGTTGAAATATTCTACCTGAAGCCAGTGGGCCAGATTTTTGACGCCCTCTCTACGTACTTCAGTTTCCTCAGTTGGGTATCATCACCAGGCTTCACACGACCAACGTTAGTGAAATGGTGTGTACGCTAAAATGTACTTGGTATGAGACAGAAGTATTCCATAAATATCTTTTCTAAGCACTTTCCAACTTGTCAGTACATGGTTGTGGAGTTTGTTAAGCTTTATTGAGATTATGAACCGATCAATGTTATACCATCATTCAAAACCAGAAACAAAACGACCATCCAGTGCTTATATGTTTTCATTAGCGGTCTAACATTGATCGGTTTATGATCTCAATAAAAACCTTTAAACTTGTTTGAAAATAATACACTTCGTATCGTGATGTTTTCAGCACTAAAGTATTATATATTAATCCATTTATTTACATTTTTCTTTGAAAGCTAACTGGTAATCGAGCGCGTGTATAGCCTATTATCTCCATGTAATTTTTTCATACATACTTCCCTTTATCATCGTCAAGAGAGCGAAAACAAAGACTTAAGAGGAATAGTTTGGACTCATTTTTTGTTTGGTTCTCGTCAACTGCTTACAACTTGCACTATTTAAAAAGCTGACACGATCAGGGTGTAAGTAAACTTAATAGACTAAATAGGACGTAAGTATATATATTGTGTGGAAAAACATTCTACAACATTGACAGGCCAGAGAGCTAGGAACAAGTGATTACGAAATGAACAAATGCTAATACTATGCGGGAATAAAATAAGTAAAGCTTAGTTCAAACAAGACTGCCGGTCTAGAAGACGGTTGAAATAAAAAGACTTGCTGATGCAATTAATTGAAAGCTGAATAAAATTTTATTGTTTAATAAAGAAATATCGGTCACCAAGACAAAGAAAGATTAACAACCATCTTTTAAACACATAGGTGGGATTCCTGCATCCCTATAGTAGTGGCTTCAGCAAGTTTCGGATGGCCGGAACTTGGTTGTTTATTATTCGCTTTGAAAGATTTCAAGGTATCGACGTGATTTCTTGTGTCACATTGATTCATATCTAGTTGTTGTTCAGCACCATTACTATTGAATTCTATAACGAAACTAAATGAATGACAGTATAGTGTATTGTTTTAGATATCTTTAGCAGTCGGACGATGAGAACCTAAACGTTGTAGATATTTAATATTGATTAGAGAGACTCGTCTAAAAACTAGGGAATATGTACTCTGAAGCTCAAACTTATATAGTTCAGTCTATCATTTATCCAAAGGTTTGTGTTTCTGTACTGAATAATGAACAATAAAGGTTTAATTCTCAAGGAAGACCGTAGTCTTTTAAAGTTACAGTTTTCATAATACATAAATAAGGTGTATAAAGCTATTCGGAAACAATCTTTAGCTAGTGAATGTCCACTTTTCGTTAGTTTCAACTATTGACCAGTCAATCAATCAGACGCAACATAGAAATTGGCACATGTGTACATCAATGCAAGCTGCCATACACCATTAGTACAGCGAGATGAAATTGTTGGTGCAAATCCCATTGATGGTGGTGATAACAGTATTAATATTAATTTCTGCATTTGCTGGTGGATTAGGATCTGGGAAATTGTAAAAGTGAGAATACTTTACCGGAATCTAATCAACCGAAAACGAGAAGAATAACTGTTTTTGATAAAAAATAGATTCAGTCGCACCGCAGTCAGTTAAATGCAATGTAGAACCTAGCACATGTGTACATCAATTCACGTTACCATGCAACATTACTACAGCGAGAGTGAAATATCAGGGCAAGTCCCAGAGTAGTAGAGGTATCAGAAAATATTGATCATCGAGAAGGGAATAAAAATTAGTGAAATGAAAACAAACTGATGAGGAATTTAGAAATTAAGAATTTTAAAGAAGAAAACGAGTGGATGATGAAAGTCTCTAACAAATGGTCACGATAATCAGGTAAACCACAACCATGTAGTGTACCCTCAGGTACATGGCTCAGTTTTACCGTCAGTGTCTTTCATGGACTAATATAATGTGTTGGTTTCGCCACTCCAAGCTCCCTTCCAACCTACTCCTACACCAGTCATCATCTGAAGTCAATTAAGTCGGTGGATAGACATATGTAATACACGTGTTAACTGTATTAGCCTATAAAGATTCACTACCTTATTAATCGATTTGCTATAATTATCTGTCACTTTGTATCTCACCTCAGAATTCCTAACTCAATGGTTCCAAAATATGTGAACAATCGTTCAACGATGCCTATAATCAGTTGAGGTCATTCTAATTCAGTGTTGTGTGTTGTAAATATCCAATAAATATTTGATTGGGATAAGTATTTATTGTCGTCAAACTATATATTTCATTTTGAGTCCTACTGTAGCAGATATTTTACCAATTCTTCTATTTTTGCGTTTAGTAATCTTCCTCCGATTATGCCAACTGATAATACACCTCTTTATAAACAACCCAAAGCTGTGATTGGTGTAGGGCGAGTTCGTTCTTGGCAATGGACACCATTTACGAATTCCGCTAGACAAGTTAGTCTTTTGTATTTGCATACTATATTGCGTAATGTTTAAGTGAGAAAGCTGTCTTTTTATTCCTGACTAGTAAACACTTCGAATTTTTTATACATTTTCTCAGTTACTCAGTAGGTTGTAAATAGAATGTTGATAGGGACTGTTTTGTTTTTTCAACACAAATCAGCTCCATTTTCTATCAATTTCTGAGATTGCATTGTTGACTTATTTAGCCCACACTTGGACTTTTGTATTGTAAACTCGGAAGGCGAATTAAATAAACACGTACTCAGTAAATATGCTTAATATCCCAAGAGCTGATTTAATGGTCTCCATGCATAAAATGTTAATATAAGAAAAGAGGCCAACGTTTTTAGTCGGTCATTCACATTAAATTCAACTTTATTCGTATTTAGCTTCACCAGTCTAATTAAATCCAACTAGTTATTGATTTCAAATACTGAAGTATAACTTAATTGTCCAAATGCTCAGGTATGACCGAGGATGGGGGAAGAGTTCGTTCTCCCCCTCGAAATGGTTTCATATAGTCACGCATATATAGCCACCGACAGGGAAGTCCTACTCATTACCTTCTCGCGTTAGGGGTGTTGTCTACGAGATTGAGAGGACGAAAAGAGAATGTTTAGCGCTTTAACCCGGTTGGTGAGTACGGATAATTCACCTAGGGAAGTTGGGAAAACAACCTACTTTAATTTGGGCATTCGAGTTATAGTTCATGCGTTTTGTAACATCACACTAAATTTGTCAATATCTTCATTGATAATTTTTATTATTGCACGTACACTTGTAGTTCATATAACAGATTAATTTTGTCTAAAGGAACATCGAAGACCAATCAACTCTTCATGGCTGTTTTATCTTAGTTCCAACAATGTGGATCACATATCCTACCTGCAATCGAGTCAAAGATCTTCAAATTTTGCAGCGAACGTGCTAGGACATTTAGTTGAGATCCAGTAGTTTACATTTTGAATTACTGTCGATTCTCTATACTTTATAACCACTATCCATTAGAATTACTGATACACAATTGAATTTTTCTGGTTACTGTTTTTCGCTAAAGCATCTATCTCAAAGTTAGTCAATCCACTATATAAATTACGCGTTGAGTAATCTCTTTAAACTTTCTATGCTATTTGTACACTACTAAATATTGTATTACAGTCTATCTTTATTCACTATTTCGTCTTCACAGTAAAACACCATAATAGTAATTAACAGGAATATTCTATTTATCAAGATTTACAATTGAATTAACATAGTATATTATGTCTTGGATACTTCATTTTTCTTTTACTAGGATAATTTAGTCTTATATCATTGGAGACGAGAAAGCACTGATCCAGAGGCTAATAAAGATTATTATTTTGCACGATACAATAAGGTAAGATATTAACAGTATGTGTATCAAAACCTTTCTTGACTATACACTTTTTCAAAATAAAATTAAACTACTTAATATCATGCGAAGCATTGTGGTATGTTTTCTGGAGATTAGTTTTAGTATGAAAATAAATTACTATTACGGATTTACATAAGCTCAGTCACTCGATCATAAGCAATGTATAATTTGTCACATATGCACTCACCCGAGATTCAACATCACATCAGTTCAACGAAATCAAATAATCATGCTGAATATAAAAAGTATTAGAAATGGTAATACCACATCAAACATTGAAAATATGGTTCGAGAAGAGATAAATCAAAAGTATAGGGTTAGATAAAAGTGAATTAATCTGCGCCATTGAGACTGATTTTAAGTTATGCTACATAACCATTGTTTATGATAGTCGGGTTGACCACAGATAGGTAATCTGCACCTACCAACGTGGCTCAAATAAACGGATAATCACTTCAGGAACTGATGTATTGTCACTATCTGGCGAAAATAAAGAAATATGAAACGGTTGTTTGTTTCCGGTTTGGAACTACCCAGAAGTGATTACCTCATTCCACTGCCATGAACCAAACTTACGACAATCAAGCTCTGTAGCGGCCACTTTATTTTTAAATTCATAAGTCGATATTTCTTAGTTTATGTTTTGAAATCATCCTGATTCGCAATACTACGAGACGATCACAAATTGCCATCAGTGACACATACTTCATTCTCCACATAGTTAAGAGTAATTCCCATAGTTCTAATTATAAATCGTAACAAACCCCCGAGGTTCGATAGTGTGCTTTAAAAACCTAGTGCTTATGAAAATTCCACGGTTGATATCCTCTTGAAGTACCTCTTACCGGTTGGTTGCTTTTTGTTTATTTAGCCATGACAGCTTCCAAACTGCACATTATTTGCTAGCGTTTGGATTGGGACTACCGGTGAGGTAGTCACTTTATGATTTAGTACTGTGCAATAATGCAACGTCATGTTGAATTATTGTCTGTTGATTTATCATAATTCCTTGGTGTTAGGTTTCAATAATCACGTAGCTTAGTGGATTGAAACTTTATCAGAATGGTAACTAGTGACAAAACTGTTGAAAGTAAAACTGCATCATGCCATATGCCTTACTTTTAAAATTCATTTACCATGTATTGTTTTGACATTTTGTTAAGAAACTCTACTGTTCTTATTTCATCACGTTAATAGTATAATCTTATTCTAATTCAAAGTGATGAGGATTAAACAAGGTGACCTATGTATGCGATATAATTAGTACACAACGTTTTAATTCTAACTGTATTAGAGCTTTATGAACTGCACGTTTCTTTCAGATGAATTCTAATAGTTATTTTACTAGTGAAATCGATGTATCGCTATACTTTTCTTTTGTCTTCCTCAAGTTATTTTCTTGTTATTTATGTCTTGTGAAAAAAAAATTTGTGTTAGCATGTCACTGTTCCTGAATATACTTCTGAAGAGTACGAAACAATGCTAAAGGATGTAAAATGGAGTGAAGAGCGCACAGCACATTTGATGGAATTGGCTAAACGTTTTGATTTACGTTTTATTCATATGAGAGATCGATGGGATTGTGAAAAGTTCCCTGGACGTCCATCTGTTGAAGATCTCAAAGAAAGATATTATGGAATTCTAACACAATTAGATAAGGTGACCTTAATGTTATTCTTATATTTTCTCTATTTTTGTTGTTAAAAAAACTGAACTTGAAACGTTCAAGCATTAAACGAGCTATCGCTTTTAATGCACTGTAAGACAATATCATCCGTATACTCACCTATTGTTGGTTACCGGCCACCATGAGACTGCATCTTCTGACGTTACTCCACTGCCTTGTGGATTAGACCTCTAGGCCAGTGTCTCGAGGTATGGTCCTCTAAGAAAACCACCTGCTTTGGTTTTGGCGCCCGGTCAGTATTCTATCCTTCACACAAATCGAATGATTTGTTTGGTCCATATATATATATATATATATATATATATATATATATATATATATATATATATATATATATATATATATGGTGCCTTATTGTACCAATGTTTATGTGTTTAAATAAATAAATAAAGAGAACATTCACACCGCTGGATATTGGTTCAGCGGTTTAGAGGTTAAGCGTTCGTGCGTACGACTGGAAATCCTGGGTTTCATTCATCGTGAATGCACATTGCTGAGGGGTCCCATACTAGGATGAGACAGCTTTACAGTACTTTCAGGTTTTCATTGATGGTCTAGCTAACATCAGTTCGTGGTTTCAAAATCTTAATGTATATATTCAACCTACTTTTTTGGTGATGTATATTATTTCCATTATCTGTTTACAAATACTTCTATTAAATACATTTCACTGACAAGTGTCTATTAGTATAAAATCTAAGTGAAGTAAGAATTCCTATGGATCATTTCAATTACCAAGTACTTATTTTTACGTCTGATTATTTTCTTATATATATATACATATCTTAAGGCTCGTGGAACAAATCTTTCACAAGGTCTACGATATGATGCAGCACATGAACGTCGACGTAAACAACAATTAAGTTTACTTTATGGTCGTACAAAAGATCAAGTTGAAGAAGAACAACGTTTAATCATGGAATTGCGTAAAATTGAAACTAGACGTAAAGAACGTGAACGTAAAAAACAAGATTTACAAAAACTTATCTCATTGGTAAATGTATATTTTTAGGGAGAATTTTATGCTGTTTGGTATATTTGTTTCTTTTGTTTTTCTCTAGTGGAATTACTTCCAAATCTTACAGTATATGTACGGTAGTTAATGGAGATTTCCGAACCAATGGTGCACATGGGCTCCAGGATCCTAAGGAAACAAATTGCGTATGAACCAATCGTTAGTCACCGGCTACCATGTGACTGCATCTCCTGACGTTGCTCTACTGCCTTATAGATTAGACCTTTGGGTCAGTGTCTCGGGTTGTGACTCCTTAAGAAGGTCACTTGCTTAGGTTTGGTGGGCACCTGAGCAGTCTCCCACCCCTCACAAAAATCGAATAATTTATGTGGCGCATATCTGTTTGGTGTCTCCTTGTACCAATGTTTATGTGTTTAAATAAATAAATATCTGTAGATAACAAAACTTACTGGATTATTGTCAGTTATCTAGAACACTTTGCTTGCCTTTTCAACCAATAAGTCTCAGGTTCGAGCCCCATTGCACCTATTTTGGGTTAGGAAACTCTGGATAGTAATATCGTTAGCCCTCGTACTTAGAGTGTAGCTCATATCTAAGTACACAAAGAATGAGTTAAACTTGAGAAAAATTTATATACTATGGAAATGTTGATTGACTTTTTAATGTACAATTTACAAAGTTTGTAATATTTTTCGTTATTATTATTTATGTAAAATTTAATGAATGCCAATTATTTCTCAAACCAGTTCTTTTTCATCTTGGTTGTTTTTTGTAGGCTGACAGTGTAACTCGGGATTGTGAATTATCTGAGCATACAGGTTATGAGACGAATACAGATGATACAAATTCTTGGCTTACATCTACACACTCATCTGTTGGCGGTGGTTTATCATCTTCCAATAATTCACTGTTAACATCAACAACACTAACAGGAAATACTGGATTACAACGTAAACGACCCAGTGGTGTCAGTGGTTTGAATGCTAGTAATAACAATATTGGCAATATTACGTCATCATCTAGTCAGTTAATTGGAAATACAAATTCACTCATCAATACAGATTCTAGTTGTACTAATTTAGCAAGTCTAGGAGTAGCTGGTGGTGCTAATACTGGAGCATCGATATCCTCTGGAGATATTTGTGCTTCATTAAATTCTGCCTCGAATACAGCTAATACTGCACTAGTGAGTTGAAAGTATTCCTTGACTTAATTCATGTTATCGAGCGTTATACGTACTTGGATTTAAGGCATAGAGTTTATGTGTGTATATAGGTGAGGCTTGTGACTCTTTTTGTGTCTATTCAAACTGAATTCATTGGAAGCTGGGTTTAAATCTACAATCTATGGATTGAAAATCAAGATTCCTTTGTTTCGTAGTTTGAAGCCAATTTAGACAACGATGTGTGAGTCAATATACATTAGTGATCAATCATTGTAATAAAGTGTTATATCAAATGTCAGGCCCATATTGTCAATGATTTCATGAAACAGTCTGACATGTTAGTTTGGTCATCTTTAGCTTTCTTACAACCTACACTGCTATTCCAATTAACACCGCTCGTCTAAGTAGACGGTAGTTAGACAGGTCTTAAAATTCAAGAGTCTATAGCTGAAACTATACTAAGAAATAAATGTGTCTAGTGGTTTTACGTGACTTGTGAATCTTCTCAAGGTTTATAGTTGGTTCCTTTTTTCTGAAAGCTGACGAGTATCACTACAGTAAACTTATTCATTTAAGAGAAGATTATCCAAAATTTGTCCAGATAGCTTAGTCATAAATAATGTTGAATATCATTTCTTGTGGTTTCCAGAATGCCATGTATGTCAAGTCCTTCTTAGTGAAGATTAAATTCTATCTTGACTAGTGGTCACATTGTAACTTGATCGATAGAATTCGATCTTCATTAAGAGAGACTTGATATACATGATATTGATCTATGTAAACTTGTGACATAATGGGTATATCGAGGAACTCCATCCAAGACTCACGTATACCATCAAAGAATGATAAAGATCCCGTCTTAGATATCGAAAAATTTTCTCTTCCATATTGTGTTTTTTCTCAAAAAAGTTTTGATTTGAATTTTCGTGTTTTTTCTTCTTCAGAATACACAATATTCAATAAACTTTTTGGATGTTAGCAAAAATCCTGGTGCTCATCTACGTAGTCAAAAGGTAAATGGTGCTCGTTTACTTCATATAACTCATTACTAATGAATAAGGCCTAATTTTTACATACTACTATTAATCTTTCCAAATTATTGTATCATTTTATCATTGTTTGACAAACCTTATTACTTACTATTCAATGTAATTGTAAAGAAACTATGAGTATCGTCATATCAAGACATGACATCAGTTTGTGAAGTTACTTGACTTGCAGTCTTTAAGTCGTTTAAGTAAATGTATACTCCTTAATTGGCTCCAGCAAAATACTCTTTCTCAATGATTATTGTTATAATTTGTGACCGCCGATTAGAGAGCAGTGACTTATCGATCGGACCAATGACGCTTAAACCCTTATGAGCAGTCTAGATTCCTTATTGGTCCTGCTTTCCGCCTAGCCCAGTCAGTTAAGTCCAGAACATCAATTTCAGCCTCTCCAATATGAGTCATTATATATCAGACATACTGAGTTTATATACCAATGAAACAGACCACAACGTACCATAAAATAGAAAACAACATTTGTACAAGAATCAGCCAGATGTGGCTGTGAATGAAGTGGGTAGTAATTAATAGGCAGGACATAATTCAAGAATGGTAAATGGTATAATAATAGTTAAAAGGTCAAAACAAAGTTCATAATAAGTGGGACACGGATATGAATAGTTTAGTTACATAACAATTATACGATAAATATATACGTTTAGTATTAATCCATAATGGATCCCAAAAGTTACCATTCATTATGCTTATCGGGACCTAATAATTATTGGCAATGGATAGTGTATTTTCATTTCTTCTCTATTCTTATTTACAACTTGAGTTAATTGTCACTTGTGGTTTTTGATTCTTCGATCTGATTTCTTTTCTTTTTTGAAATGCCGTTTTAGTTAGAATCAATTCCTTCTTATTTGGCACTTATTTTATGATGATGCTTCATCTCCCACACTACATTGATGTGATATGTGTGTACTCTTGGATTGATACAAGGTTGTGTCTAGGTCCTACATTGAGTATGATGAATAGATGGGTTAAACTAGCCTAGTTATCCTGATAAAATTATTGTTTATAATTTATTAGTTCCCCCACTCTTTCTCTCTCTTATCTTGTGGATAGTTAAAATGTGAATAGTCCTACATGTTTACAATGTAGCTGACATGTATGATTAGTACGTTGCTCCATTTCCTTGTGGATTAGACCTTTAGGTCAAAAGCTCAGGGAGTGATCCCCTAAAAAACTACCTGCTTCGGTTTGGGAGTTTGGAATTTTCACTTGTACTTACAGATTGTCACCTACTTGTTTACCATCGATAATGCCTGTCTCACACCCTGGGACACGACTGAACTCTACTGCTCGTGGTTTCTTATTAGAATTCTTGAAATGTCAGAACAAGATAGTTGTCGATTACTCTGTGATTTCTCCAATGTTGTATAGCTAGAAAAGTCAGTTTGCGGTGCAAACTAACTATTGAACAATTATGAACCTTTCATACTAATAATGCCCATATAAGGCTGACCAGGATGGCGGGCAAATCAAGACGTCAGTTCATGAACTCATTGACTGTTGGATTGAGACATAGAGGCGGGTGTAGTCTACCTATTCGTATTTCACGTGATTACCGTGACTAATGTTTGAAGACTTTCGGTGATAAGAATCCGTTACATTCATTCTTTGTCATTTTTTATGTTTAAATTTCTATTTTCTACTTCACGAATTCATTCTTTTTCGAATCATATTGTCTATCCCTAATGTTTTCTAATACCACTAATACACTTTTACTACTTCTACTACTCTGGGCTTTTTCTTGATAGTTTCATCTTGTTAGACTAATGTTATGTGGCAACTTTGATCTATGAATATATTTGCTAAGTTCTGTGTTACATATGACAGGACAGGGCTGACTGACTGGCTGACTTATTAATGATTAATTTTGAAGAAAATTTCTAATATGAAAAGTCATAATCCAAAAGAATTCAGTCATTTACTTTCCATCATTTTTTCATCAAATATTTCAGATGAAATTACCCAGTAATTTAGGACAGAAAAAGACAAGAATCATTGAAAACTTCTTAGGTCATTTACAAATCGGTAAGTTTCAATGTTTTTATCAATATAGGGTCGTTGGAGATTGTTAATTTCTTAGTTGAGATCATGACCACCATTGAAAACCTATAAGCACTAGACGGCCGTTTCGTTCTAGTATGGGACTCCTCAGAAGTGCTCATCCACGATTCTCTACGCGTGATTCTAACTTAGGACCTCAGGTCTCGTGGATGTACACTACTGAGGAGTACCATACTAGGACTAAACGGTCGTCAACTATTTAAAGGTTTTCAATGGTGATCTAACACTGGTCTATTCACGATCTCAATTTATGTTTTTACTTGGATTAATAACCGTTCAAATTGTTTTAAGAGAATTTATATATTTATATACTGTGTATTAAAATTGACTTGGCCAAGTTTCGTCACATGGCAACTTAAGTAAATGTTTGTATTTTAGTAAAATTATGCTTTGGCAACAAACCAATTAGGTTCGAGCCAGAGATTCTGTGATCAACTCTGTTCCATTGGTTTGAATTATTTTTTTCTGGTTACTGTTTTTTTTAGCGAGTTAGTTTTCTACGCGATGGGGTCGCTAATCCCATGCCCAACTCTCCTCCTTTACCCGGGATCGGGACCGGCAGTAAGCCTGGAAAAGCTACAGGCGAAGTTACTTTGTCTCATAGTCTTTCTTATAAATGCTTACTCATGGTCTTAAATAGTGTTGATTTTGAGAAAGTAGATTTCCTAGCGCAATTTAATATCACCTTTATCATTATGAAATTTATAGATTTACGACTTAAAGTCTGAAGAAAGATCAAATTCTTAACGAAATTACCCCAGGTTTTAGTCAAAAACAGAGGTGGTTAAACTAAACCAGACGAGTATTTTATTGGTTATACGTACTCATCGACCAATCAATTCTGTGGTATTTCAGTTACAGTCCACGTAGTTTACCGGAGAAGTTTGTGACTGTGACACTGAGTGATGTCTGTTCGAATTTGATGTGGGTTATCAGTTCCTACAAGATTACAGATACTCCTTGTTGCGACGAGTACCAACTAATACATAACTTATGTGAAACGGCAGGGTTACCTGTCGATCGCTTCTAAACCATTCAGCAGTTATGTTTCTGACAACTTACGTCACTTTTACTGTAAGAAGAGACTCATTCACTGAATAAAGAACGACTCTACTGCTCATTAGTTCTCTCTGTTCTACTTTATGGGTATGATATGTAATTTTAAAAAAGAGTATATTCATACGTTACTAGTATTCGATCATAGGTGTCTTCGAGCCATTGTTCATATATTTCGCGACCACCAGCTTAACAGTTCTGAGGTCAGTCAGTCAGTCAGTCAGCTACAACGTAGGACCAGGCACATATGTGCATCGGTCCAGGTTGCCATACCGCATCAACACAACAAGATGAACACCAGATTCATAACAGTGGTTAGGTAAAAGGTGGTAATATATAAGAGAAAGATTGCATATAGAGATATAGTACAAGCAGAAAGAATTGGTTCGTAGAAATAAAGATATGAAGCGATTTTAATCTCATAGTTTAAGGGAAGACAGGGAGTGTATACACCGACGCCATTGTGATCGATTCTGAGCCATGTCACCGAGAGTCTCCAACCATTGGTTACGATAGTCACGCGGACCCCAACCAAGTAGTCTGCATCTACCAACATGGCTCAGACTAGAAGTTAGTGACTTCAAACACTGATGCCACGTTTTGGTTTGGCCGCCCCTAACTTTCTTCCAACCATTTCCAATACCGGATAGCATTGCACGTCGTGGTAATCGGTGTTCAGGCATACGTAACACGTGGCCCAACCATCTCAGTCGATGAAGATTCATAACCTCATCAACTGATTTACCATCCTTTCCTAATACCCTGCGTCTAACCTCACTATTACTTACCCGGTTATCCCAGCAGACGCCAGCAATATTTCTTAGGCATCTGTGGTCAAATACTAATAGCTTACGAGTGTCTTCTACTCTTAATGGCCATGTTTCGCTGCCGTAAATTAAAACAGAACGGACTGCCGCGCATTATACTCGTCCTTTTATTGATAGACGGATATTTCGCCTTCGCCATAAGTGACGTAAGTTGGCAAAAGCCAAACGAGCTTTTCGAATTCGTGCTGAGATTTCGTCCGATACCAACCCATTTGGGCTGATCAGACTTCCAAGATAAGTGAAGTTGTCAACGCGTTCGACTACTTCACTCCCTATCCTTAGTTCAGGTGTTAACACAGACCAGTCCTGAAGCAACAACTTGCATTTAGAGGGAGAGAAGCGCATTCCAAACATCCTGGCATTGTTGCTCAGTGCTACCAGAAGACTCTGCATTTTGTCAGCGTCTTCACCAAACAGGACTATGTCATCTGCGTATTGTAAGTCGATAAGTGGACCTCCTGGAAGGAGATCAATACCCGAGAACTCAGTCGACGAGAAAGTTATTTCCATCAGTAGATCTATGATGAAGTTAAACAAAAATGGGGAAAGTGGACATCCTTGACGGACACCACTTGAGGTTGCAAAACTAGATGACAGTTCGCCATAAGCTCTGACTCGACTAGTAGTGTTCGAGTAAAGAGCCTTTACAAGGTTTATGTACTTCTCGGGTACGCCTTTCAGTGACAGACACTGCCACAGAATCTCGCGGTCTACCGAGTCAAATGCTGCTTTTAAGTCAAGAAAGACCACCATCGTCGGACGCCGATAAGTATGCCTGTGTTCTAGAACCTGACGAATGGTGAATATGTGGTCGATGCAGCCACGACCTGGTCTGAAGCCAGCTTGATTTTCTCGTGTTTGCAGTTCACGAGTTTTAGTTAGGCGTCTGATTATTATTGAGGCTAGTATTTTAGATATTATATTAGTTAAACTAATCCCTCTGTGGTTGTCACAGGATGATTTTGACCCTTTCTTATATATTGGGACGATAAGTGATTGTGACCAGTCAGATGGAATAACGTCTAACTCCCAGATCTTAGCTAAAATATTAGTCAACCTAACCGCTAAAATTGGACCACCATCTTTAAAGACTTCTGGAACCAGTCCATCTGGACCAGCAGCCCTTCCTCGTTTCAGATTATCTATAGCCTTTTGAACTTCAGCAAGAGTTGGGGCACCTACTTCAATGTTCCATTCACGCTGTCTGGGAATGGAGGGTAGTTGTAGAGTAGCTGAAGGCCAGCTGAACTGTTCTCTGAAATGTTCAATCCATCGTTCTAAACGCCTGGACTGGGAGCAGATGAGTGTATCGTCTTTTTCCGATATAATCTCACTTACACTTGACTTATTAGTTCCAGTTTCTTTTATTAGTCTGTAAAGCTGTCTTGTGTTCCCCATAGTCGCCGCCTTTTCCATCTCTTTTGCTTTCGTTGCCCACCACTGCTCACGGTCGTTTCTTAGACTTTTTCTTAACCTAGATCTGATTTGTTGTCGCTCTTCATCATGTTCGGAACCTGATGGGACGAGTTTGCGAGAATCCATCAGTGTGATAGACTTTGAAGAAATCCACTGGTCCTTTGAAACTCTGTGGTTTAAGTTGCTAATAGATGTCACTGCTGCTTCCACAGCTGCTTGTATGTCTTTCCAAGCAACATCTGGGTCAGCCTCGTCTTCCGAACTACCTAAGTGTGAGCTCAGTTGTTCTTGGAACCTATTTTTGGTTTTCTCGTTACTCAATTCAGTTCTAATTGGTCTTTTTAATGTGGCTTTTTTGCGTCCGGTGAGGCGCAAGCAGATGCGTGCCCGTATTAGGGCATGGTCGGAGTCCAAGCAGGTACTCCAGAATGAGCGACAATCTTCTACCGACCCTCTCCAACGATGACTGATGGCAATATGGTCTATTTGAGTCCATCGTTGGTTTGGTGTAGGGGGTCGCCATGTTAGACGATGTCTCTCCTTATGCTTAAAATTTGTGTTTGCTAAAAATAAGCGATTGTCTGAGCACAGTTGCAGCAGACGATCACCATTATCTGTTCGCTGTGCCGGAGGTCAGACACAAAGCACTAAGTAATTATAGAAAATCGATTGACGAGCTAGTAAATCTTTATCAGCTGCTATGGTTAGCTCATGTATTACATATGTCTATCCACCGACTACATAGATGCGAGATGATGACGCGTGTAGTAGTAGGTTGGAAGATAGCTTGAAGTGGCCAGACCAATACATGATATCAGTTCATGAAAGACACTAACTGTTAAACTGAGCCGTGCACGTAGGTGCAGACCATCTAGTTGTGGTGGTTTACATTGCATTATTTAAATGGGTTATATTTGGTTCTTTTTTTTTATCAAATATAGATATTCTTCTCGGTTTTGGTTGATTAGATATCGGTGAAATATTTTCATTTTTACGATTTTTCCAGATCCTAATCCACCGGCAACGGCAGAAATTGTTGAAGCATATAATGGTTTACGTTCAAAAATTCTACTTTTATTCGATTTACGTCTAGCTCTATTAAATTGTGACTTGGAACTACACTCAGCTCGGCTACGACTAGAAACATTTGCTCCTAATAAAGTAATTCTTGCCCCCTTTTTTCTGTTAGTCATAACGAGAGTGATTTCAAGTGTTGTTAGAGGTTTTATTTTATTTTATTTGGATACAAGAGGGCACCAAATATATATGCGCCACATAAAACAATGAGAATTCGAAGAGAAAAAAAAGGAACAATAACGAACAGGTTAGTGTAAAGTCGCGTAATAATAATAATAGTAATAATGGGGGAAATGGAAGGGTACACTCAGGAGAAATCTTTCAGTTAGGGAAGAAACAACCATTTTTTATGAAGAAAGTGAAAGAAGGTTACAGCAGGATCGCCATTGGCCTTTATTCTGAGCCATATCTGATAACGTCTCTAGCCACTGTGTTGCACCATCTCTCGGACCCCAGCCAGGGAGTCGTGAAGGACCAACAAAAGCCAGCCCTTTGCAGCTTTCTTTCATACTACGACAACATTTCATACACTGACCACCTGTCCGCTTCCAACCAGTCCCAGAGTCGGCAAATAATGCACGACGTGGAATTCTCTGGGACGACATTCGTAGAACATGTCCAAGCCACCGAAGTCGATGTTTCAAGATGGTGACACCAATTGCATTATCATCTCTGTGCCCGAACATACGATGCCGAACCTCTGCATTACTAACATGGTGTTGCCACTGGATGTCAGCAATCCTTTGGAGACAACGATGATCGAACACAGAGAGTCGTTTAACATCCTCAACTCGGAGAGGCCAGGTTTCATAAGCATTCAGCAAAACTGCTCTCACTGACGCGTTGTAGATCCGACCTTTCACAGCACCAAAGATGGCCCAGATTGGCATAAGCCGCTCTGGCTTTCACTATACATGCATCGATCTCATCACTCACGCCACCACCAGCACTTATGCAGCTACTTAGATACACGAACTTCTCGACTACTTCTATCTGCTCACCATCCAGGGTGAGTACAGGATTAGGATCCTGTCAGTCTTGTAGAAGTACTTTGCACTTCGAAGGTGCAAAGCACATACCATATAATGAAAATATAATGAAAAATGTTGTTAGAGGTTGGTGGACAGTTGTCACTTTTCAGTTGATCATATTGTGATGGTTACTTCTGATTGAAGAACTTGAAATGGTTACTGCGTTAGTATTGATCTAGTCAATCTGAATGTATGCATTTTCAGAGTCTAACCCACAGGAGACAGATATCCATGCGGCATTTTGAATTGTAACTTTCAACTAAACAGACTATATCGAGGTAATTTGCTTACGATGCATATACGACAACAGGAATTCATCACTTACAGTCTTTTGTATCAACAACATGTGCTTAGATTAGATTGTTTCGACATATCACGGACTATATACTTTCACACAATCAATTAACTTCATTGAGCCTGATTACTGTAAATAAATAGTATAAGAATATTTCAATTATTATATTATTTGTACTTTTAATGAATTATCAACTATTTCATTATGGAAAAATACTAAAACGTACGAATCGTTAGGTGTTGGGAAACTTACTGAACTAAGAAAATGTTCAGTATTCCGATTTTTCCCACTTCATACATCAGATAACTTGAAATGCTTCAATGTGTGCTTTGGTAACACGGTTCACTTATTCCTTACATAAACTGTTTGGTATAACAGTAGATCTGAAAAAAGTATTGCTCAAAATATTATGAAGTAATGGGAGATAGATGGCTATATTATCAATAAATAGATGGAAAACAATGGTTGTTTAACAAGTCAGTCAGTAAAAACGTAAAACTTCGTACGTACGTACATGAGTTCGAGTTGTCACACCACATTAGCACAGAGATGCAGTTGTCGATACAAATCCCGTAGTATTAGAGGCGGTAAGAGTATAAGCAGTAATCGGAAAGATTAGGGTTTGATTAACAAAGACAATCACTAAGTTCTGTAACCTCTAGAACTTCAACTAGTAAGTTCGGATGGACTGATGAATGTCAGTCGTATACAGAACTATCTCTCATACTACGACTCCATATTATAAACTAATAATGTCCATTTTCTCCATCCAGTTTCGGTATTGACATATAACGTTTGATGTGAAAGGTACTGAAACGATATATGTAAAGCATGTGCAGTTCACCCACGTTGATGTTTCAGGATAGTTAGTCAGGTTGGTGCGGATCGATTTCACGAAAAATAATGGAGAGTATTCCTTGTATTCCTTAACGTACTAGCATAGACATACTTCCTGAAAAATATGTCTTTGTAGAATATGATAAAGTTTTCAGTTACTCTCCTGGTTGATAATTATGTATTTTAAGTTTTTCTAGATTTTTTTGTGTATAGTTGAACGAAACACTTCTCTTTTTTTAATGTCTAATTTCCTCTTTTAGCCATTACCTTGTGGACTTGCTAGTCTTCCAAATCCTAGTATATCAGAATCACCTGAAGATTCTTATTATAATTTAATTGATCCATTAATTTTGTCAGCACTTCGTGTAGCCGATTCAAAACGTCCAATTCTACCGCGTCATTCACTTGGAGTTGCTGGTACATTGGCTGCGGCTGCTGGAAGTTTAGGTATGCATAATATGACTAGCGGAAGTAGTGGTATTCCACCTATGAATACAACAATGGAGAAATCGGATACAAAACAATGTCGATTGAACTCATCGTCTATTGTGAATTCTTCAGATAATGGACAGTATAATTCTAGTGGATTAACAACTACTCGATCATCTCCAGCGTTGTCAGGAGGTGGTGGAGGCACTGGAAATCTAGACTCGGATAATTCATCATCAGCCGGAGATGGTATCGGCAGTTCACAACGTCGTAGAAGAGCAGCAGCTTTAGAACAAGGACGTGTTTTAAAGAAACTTAAAATTAAAGGACAACTTGTTGATTGAAACTGTTATTTATGGAAAAACAAACAAATTCTTTGTTGTGTATGTGTACATAAAAATATTTATTCGATTGATCTCATTTGTCTTATCGTTTCAAAATGAAACAATTTCATAATAAATATTTCTTCCTTTACCATGTTCTTTGCTTAAAAGATAATTCTCATTACCTGATTGATGTCAGTTAGGATGAATGGTTAACAATTAGGAATCATTTAAAAACTGTTTTCCATACTAAATTGAACTCTAAACTTTCAGGTTTACTAGAAACACCTCAAAATATCTTTTTATTCTTTGTTTAGGAAGTCAAGATTGTTATTTTTGACAAAGTTTATGATAAACTGAATACATATATTCCTCATACTACTACTTTTACTACTATTGCCTCCAAATGTCCTGGTACGGCCGAGAGTGGGGAGAGTCCACTCTCCCTCTCGAAATGCTCTCACATGGCCACGCGTATATAGCCTCTGCCGTGGAAGTTCTAATCATTGCCTTCTCGTGGCGGTGAAGTTATTTACGAAATCAAGAGGACGAAAATCGAATGTCCGGCGATTTAACCGGGTTGGTCAATATGGAGGATTCGCCTAGGGGAGTTGGAAAACCTTGATTCCACACCAATGATGCACATGGGCTTCAGTATCCTAACGGAATAGATGGCGCATGAACCAATCGTTGGTAACCGGCTACCATGGGAATGCATCTCCTCACGATGCTCCACTGCCTTGTGGATGAGACCTTCAGGTCGAAGGCTCCGGGTGTGTCCCCCTAAGAAAATCATCTGCTTCGGTTCGGTCACCTGGGCAGTATCACAGCCCTCACACATCAAATGAGATTTGTGTGGCGCATATGTATTTAAAGAAGGAACGAATTGAGCGAATAAATTTCTTTTCAATTAGTTTTTCATCATGGCTCTACACTAATATATATACGTTTTACAATAATAATATAATACTCATACTCGATGAGTATTATATTATTATTGTAAAACGTATATATATTAGTGTAGAGCCATGATGAAAAACTAATTGAAAAGAAATTTCTTCGCTCAATTCGTTCCTTCTTTATTTACCAAATGGCAAAATGGGAATTTTCGCATATGTATTTGGTGCCTCCTTTTACCAATATCTATTTGCTAAAATAAAATAAAAAATCTACTACTATTACTGTAATGAAAGAGCACGAGTGAAGACAACCGTAATATATTTCATCTATCATTTTATACAAAACATTTCTAGAAGTAGACATTCACTTGATGTCGCTTTACTTGTACCTTCCCATTGTTATTTAGGACTTCAATTGATTCCATTGTTAGCCACGATCAATCTTTGCTTAAAAAGCTTGTGACTTAAGACTATATCAAGGCAATCCGTACATATGCCAACATGAGACTGATCAATTGCACTCGTAAATAAAAATGGGAAGATACAAGTAAACAGCAACACCAAGTGAATCCATGACGTTTCAGTCTATCACGCGAATGCTTAACCTTTAGACTACTGAGTCGACATCCAACGGTAATAATGTCTAACTTCAACCAATCCACGTTATATATATAAAATGAGATTCTTAATGAATTTAAGGAACGTGTTTCAGAAGAATCAAACCTTGATTACCTCAGATCGAATGTTGTTCATCCTCAACATTTAGTCACTTCCAATGAAATCTCTATTGAATACGAGAAATATGTTTAAATAAAGTCGCATTAATTGTAACTTGAATATATGAGGATCCAACATTATTTCGTGGGGGAAGAAAATGCTGGAGAATTTAAAGTTTCAGCTCAGGATCTAAACTTCAAAAAGGGAGGTGTTATATCCTAATGGAGATTAAGTTACGGATACATTCTGAGGACTATTAATGGACTAATATTACATATATGTATTTCTATTGTATAACTATTCAGTAATTAGATTATGTATATCTATATTCCTTTTATTTTGATCTATACACTATTATGATACGATTAACTATTCTTCAGTTATGTTCAGTTGATTGATTACAGTCTCCGACATTCACAAACACTTTTTGGCTTGATCTTGTATAGATGTTATTTCCTATTTTATGGTGTAATTTAGTCTGTTTGGTTGGTATATAAACCGAGTATGTTTGAAATAAAATATTTGCATAGTAGAAGCTGTCATCGGTGTTCTGGACTCAACTGAACGGGCTAAATGAACAAAGGAATCAATAAAGATGCTAGGTTGCTCATATTGGTCGAACATCATCGATTCGGTACAGTGCCAATATTTGTAAAAGTCATATTTCAGTTGACAAATAAATCAAGTGGTAACTAGTCAAGCTTAAAGTCAACACAAAATCATTTATACATATCAATCTTCAGTAAAATCTGTTTAAAATCTTTAGAAAAAGAGAAAAAAGAAAACTCTTATGACTACAAAATGGGGTAGCCCCCAAATGCCCTGGTACGGCTGAGATTGTGAAGAGTCAACTCTTCCTCTCCAAATACTCTCACATAACCACGTGTATACAACCATTATCAGGGAAGTCCTACCCACCACCTTTTCGTGGTGGGAGTGTTGTTTACGAAATCGAGAGGACAAAAAGCGAATATCCGGCGCGTTAATCGGGTTGATAGATATAGAGAATTTACCTAGGGTATTTGGAAAATCCTCATACCAAACCAATGGTGTACATAGTCTGAAGAATCCTGAAGGAACAAATGGCGTATGAACCAATCGTTGGTCACCGGCTACCATATGACTGGATCTTCTGACGTTGCTCTACTGCCTTGTAGATTAAACCTTTAGATCAGTGTCTCAGGTTGTGGCTCCCTAAGAAGGCCACTTGCTTCAGTTTGGTGGGCATCCAGACAGTATCCCACCCATCACATAAATCAAATGATTTATGTAGCGTATATCTATTTCATCCCTCTTTATACCAATGTGTATATGTTTAAATAAACAAAACAAAATGTGTGTGGGGGGGTATATTTTAATTACTAATTTATCTAATAAAATTTACATAAATAATAAAATCAATAAAAAATAAATTCAATATTCAATTGAACAAAATGATGATCATATTCATATCGATTTTTTCATTCAAAGAAATCTTAATAAAGTAACTGATAGAGATGATGATGATTATTATCAATAGTATGTTTTTTCTTCTTTTTTTCTTTTTATTGATTTTTTCTCGTTTTTTGTTTTTTCTTTCTGTTTTTGTTGATTTTATTTAAAATATTTTTGTTGCTAATTGTTTTGTTATCCAATCCATATGTGATGTTGTTGATGTATAAACACCAGGATTTAAACCGCAACCACGTGCTAAACCAAAACTTGTTACACCAACAATATGCCAACGATTAGTCTCTTCTAAATAACAATAAAGACCACCACCACTATCACCTGCACATGTATCCTAAGAATTCAAAGAAAAGAAAAATGGTTGCTAATTGAATAGGAAATCAGTAGATATTCCAGAAGGAATAAGTAAATGAGAAGAGTATGAAGAAATGTCAACAAGTTAATCATCATGTTCAGGGATTTAGAGGTTGATCGTTTGGATATAAGAACGAAGGTCATGGGTTCGAGTCCCGTATGCAGAATCATGGATGGATAATGCTAAGGAGTTCGGTCTAAGCACCTGGGTAGTATCATAACCCACATACAAATCAAGAGGCTTACTTGTGTAGCGCCCATGTATTCGATGCCCCTTTGTACCAATATTTGTGTGTTCAAATAAATGAAAATAAATAGTCAAAACATTGAACCTGTTCAAATATACTACTCATAGTTTAATAAGTAACACTAATGTGTTTATTTCAATTTAACTCTACTGGTTACTGCTTCTCACTAGAACTCTGAGAATTCCTTCATGAAACTAGTCAATAATGGTTGTGAAGATTATTAAGCTCTTAATTGAGATCTTCATAAATTCCCTCATCCTTAATGTATATACAAAAGAATAAACAAAATCATTTCTTACTTTATTTCTAGCACCAGCACATACATGAACTTTAGAACTAATATCAGCATAATGTTTACGACAATCTTCTATAGAAACAATTGGTAATTCAACTTCATGTAATTCTCTTGATGATTCTTCTTCTTCTAATTTTTTAATATTCCATATTGTTGATTCTTTTCTACCAAATGTAAATGGTGTTGTAAATAATGATGGAAATGGTAAAAATAATGATTCTAATATACTATGTATATTATCAAATGTTGGTATTTTTGCACCTTTATTACTACCCCAACCAACAGCATAACATTTTGAATTTGATGATAATTTTAAATCTTTTGTTGGTAAACAAGCAAAATCAATTTCTGGTGCTAAAAAGAAAGAAAGAAAAAAGTTAAAATGAATAATTTGAAACTGAAGGTCATGAGTTCGAACCTAGGGAGCGGGGAACGAAGATGTGCATTGTTGAGGAGTCATATAATAGGACGAAACGGAGGGCCGGTGCTTTCAGGTTTTCAATGGTGGTCTAACATGATCTTAATCAAATACTTAATAATCTTCACAACCGCATACCCTGTTCTCATTAGTGACCAGTTCCATGAGGGAATTCTCAGAGTTCTAATGAGAAGCAGTGACCAGTGGAGTTAATCTGTGTTGGATAATATAGGTATTTACCTCATTACAATGGAAGATGGTCTCGCAATTTTGTAGATTGGTTAAGGTTATACATTCACACCATTGGATGCCAGCCGACTCAGCGGTCTAGAAGTAAAGCGTTCGATTGCGAGACTGAATACACTGGGTTTGAATCCCTTGAGCTGCATCATGGATGCGTACTACTGAGGAGTTCCATACTAGGACGAAACAGCCGTCCAATGCTTCCAGATTTTCAATGATGATCTAACATCAATCGATTCATGATCTCAATAAAAAAAATGTCAAGAATTTAGATAATATATCTAGTAAAAAACCCTAAATGAGCCTTTAATACTCTCAATTATTATTAAACAAAAGAATTGTCAATAATAATGTTTGAAGACTGTGTGTGACATGGATCAGAATCGATCATAATGGCATAGGTATATACACTCTCTGTCTTCCCTTAAACTATGAGATCAGAATTATTTTCTATCTCTCTATCAACTAATTCTCTCTTCCTGTACTAAATCCTTATATGCAACCTTTCATTTCTATAGTACTACCAT